GGGCAGGGAGAGCCCACGAGGGGCAGTTAATGAGCGTTAATGAGTTAATGAGCGGGACGGTCCGGCCCCATCAGCCCCCCCGGACGCTCGCGGGGGTTCTGGGACGGGCGGGGGGCGATGGAGATGCTTCACCAGCGCACAAACCTCGGGCACGTGCTCAGCTCTCGGCGCCCCGAAAAACCGTAATTTAATTTGTCGTAAATTAATTTAAGGCTGAATTTTCTGCAGCGCTGCAGATCCTCGGCCGAGGAGGAGCTGACGGGGCAGTTTCTGGCCGTGCCGGGGCTCGGGCTGCGGGTCAGGCTGGGGGGGGGGATTGGGGGGGGTCACCCCCTCCGGGCGGGGCTTTTCCTGCCCTGCAGACCCCCCTTTTCTCCTCCCCCCCGCCCTCCCACAGACACCAAATGAGCAGCCAATTTGCCGGAGGGAAATGAAAGGATCCGCAATTCCAAAGGCGGTGGCCACAACCAGAGCGGGTCAGCGGGTCGCGTGTTAATTTGTGATGATTCATTAAGTCATTAACTCCCTTTTAATTGCAGCCCCGTTATGGCGATGCCGTTTTACCTGTGCGGAGAAAACAGGAGCGCTGGGAGGGTGGGAGAGATCCCCCCCCTTGGAGGTGTCCCCAGATCCCCCCAGGGGTCGTGTTTTGATGCCCAGACCCCCCCCCAGCCCCTTCCCTCTGCAAATTTGGGATGGGCAAAAGGGAACAGGGAAGGAAATGGGAAAAAGGGACCTGGGAAGAGGATGGGGAGCAGCCGGAGGGTGCGTGGGACATAAAGGGGCAGTGGGTTTTGGGGGGACTGAGGTTTTCCCTGGCCCAGCCCCGGCTTCCTTGGAGCTGCTGGATGACAATTCCCAGCCCTCCCGGGCCTTAATGCCGCCGGTTCCAGCTGCCCGCTCGCTTCCACGGAGGAGGGAACGTTGTTAAGGGGCGATAACCACCGAGGGGAAGCGGGAAACCCCCACCCTGGAGCCCGTGGAGCCACTGGAACGCCGGGAAGCAGCCGGGAAGCAGCCGGGAAGCTCCAATTCCAGCTCCGCGGGCACTGGGGAGCCCCAGAGCCGGGGCTGCAGCTCGGGGCTCCACCCCAGATTATTCCCTGATGGGATTAGGGATAATCCTGGTTTTCTCTAGACCCTCCAGGACTTTCCATCCCCAAATCTAAACCCAGAGGTCCCAGCCCTCCTTGCCGGCGGGTTTTTGCTCCTCGGGGGTGAGTCAGGTGAAGCCAGAATGAAAGACAGGCTCAATTTTAAAGCAGATTAATTAAGCTGCATTACTGGCCTGTGTGGACAGAGTTCAGAATGAAAACAGCCCCTAATTCGATTTCTCTGACTTGCAAATCGCGGCAGGGAACTGGGCTGAAATCACATTAGGGCCGTTTCCACTCTGAACCGTGTCCTCGCAGGGCTTTAATGCAGTTTAACTAATTCAATTGGGACGCTCGTTGAGCCTTAACCGGGTTTGGGGCCGGGGGCAGGGCCGGGACCCCCGGGCAGGGCCGGCTGGGTGGGAACGGGGAACCCACCGCACGGCTTTTTGGGTTGGAAAAACCTCCTTCCCTGCGCGGGCTGGGGCCGGGCCGGGCTTGGCTGCTCCGCACTCGGCGATTCGGGGCCGGGGATTGTCCGGGGGCAGCGCTGGCGGGGCCGAGGAGGGAGAAGAGGAGGGTTTTTGTTCGGCCGGGCAGGGCTGGCCGAGCACAATGAGCCGCTTCTTGCTGCGGTTCCTCGGCCCCGGGCAGGAATGTCCCCCAAAACGTCCCCCAAAAACGGGGGGCAGCCTCGGGGAGAGAGGCAAGGGAGGGGTCCAACTCCTGCCACTGCCACCAGTGGGGTCCCAGTGCTGGTTTGGGGGTCACCTTCACTACCCTCACCAAAAATGGGGTCCCAGTGCTATTTTGGGGTGCAGCTCCCCAGCCATCACTGACAGGGGGGTCCCAGCACCATTTCAGGATTCAGTCCCTGCCATAACCAGGAGTGGGGGCTCAGCCCTGTTTTGGGGTCCACCCTCACTGACAGTGGGGTCCCAGCCCAGCCCTGTTTTGGGGTGCCCCCCTCCATGGCCCCCCTCAGCCCCTTCCCAAGGGCCCAGGACACTCCTGGCTGCTCCAGCCCCTCGTCTCCATCCCAAACCCCCCGGGTCACGAGCCCTTGTGCCACATCCCCCAGCCCACAAGGCCCGGGAGGGGCTCTCTGGATGTCGGGGGGCCACAGTGGGACCCCCCAGGCCCCCCCAGCCCGTGTCAGCGGCGTCACCCCGGGCTGAATCACCCTCCAGACATTCCCAGCACAAAGGCCCCATTTTCCTCCCGCTCCCTGGGGAGGGTGGCACCGGCTCCGACCCGGCGGCTCCCACAGCTCCCATCCCAAAACCTGGGCCCTGGACCAAAAATCCCCATTGCCACGAGCCTTTTTCCCTGTTCTGCATGAATGGGAACCTCTCATTTTCCATGGAAAGGGGAAGGGAAGGGGCTGCACAGACCTGGCAGCGAGGGAGATGCAGAAGCTCAGGGTGGTGCTGGGAAAATCCCTGTCCCCCAGCTCCCTAAATCCCAAATTTAACAGCTGAGTTGGGTGTCAGAAAGGGAATAAATCCCTGGGCGTCCGTGGCTGTGGCTTTGTCACCAATTAGGATGTTTTTATTGGATCAGAGGCAAAGAGATAAAAACCTCCCGGGGCAAAGTCATCCCGGGGGGAAAAGCCCTGGAGGGGATCCGCTGGGATGGGGTGGGATGTGGGGGCTGGTCCTGCCAGCTGGGCCGGGGCAGAGCTGGATGCTCCCTGGGGTGTCCCTGGAGGGAGGCACGTGGGTGTGGGAGCACCCAAAATCCAGCTGCACCCTTCCCACCTCCCAGGGTCTCCAGGATTGGGCTCCCAAACCCCTTGGGGTGTTGGAGTGATGATCCCAGGCAGGGTCAGGATCTGCTCAGGGCAGCTCTTAGGGCTGGGCCGTGGCTCCCTGGGCCCCCCATTCCAGCTGGGCTTTGGGGGGTCCCTGGCAGTTCCAGCCACATCCCAACCCCTTCCCCTCAGCCTCATCCTCCTCAGCAGCCGCTTCCCAGCACAGAAGAGTTTTGGGGGCCTCACAAGGAGGGTTGCAAAACACAGGCCGGGGCTTCCAGTGCACATCTGTCTGCACAGCTGGGCTGGGGGCCCGGGGGGACCCCCAAGTGCCAGAGGGGACCCGGGAGGGGGTGACATTCCCGGGCAGGAGCCACCCCAGGGTTGGAGGCACGGGGGGCATCAGCAGGGACCTGCCCTTGCTTTTGGGGTCCCCACCCATCACCCCACTGCCAGGGCAGCACAGGAGCCTCCGGCCCTGGAATGCTGAGCCTCAGCCTGTGAACTCTCTGAGCTCACAGGAGGGACAGGGTGAGAATCCCTGACAATTCCTGGGATCCTCTGGGCCCTAAAGGAGGGGGTTCAGCTCTGTTGTCATCCCAAAATGCTGCCGGGGTGGGTAACAAAGTCCCCCGTGCCCAGCGGTGTCGCATCCGAGGGAAACACTCTCCGGGCAGAGGGTTGGTGGCTTTTTTCCTTCCCTCTCTTTTTTCCCTTTTTCTCCGAAGGGAGAGCGCTGCTTCCCTCTAGCGGCATCGGGGGCGCCGATTCCCAGGGAGACGGAATAAGGGGCCTTTGTCTGCAGGGGCGAGATGATTTGGGGTGTGGAGCATCTCTCTGATGAAGAGAGACTGCGGGAGCCGAGCCTGGTCAGTCTGGAGCGGAGAAGGCTGAGAGGAGATCTCATCAATCCATAGAAATATCTCCCAAGGGGTGCCAGGGTGGTGCCAGACTCTGCCCAGTGGTGCCCAGGGACAGGACAAGCACAAACTAAAACACCACAAGGGCCACCTCAACTTGAGGAAGAACTTTCTCCCTGGAGGTGGCAGAGCACTGGGACGGGGGAGGCTCTGCAGTCTCCCTCTCTGGAGACATCCCAAACACACTTGGACGAGCTCCTGTGTCACCTGCTCCAGGTCACCCTGTCCTGGGTGATCTCCACAGGCCCCTCCAACCCCAGCTCTTCTGGGATTCTGGGATTTACGGGACCAAAGGAAGAGCCCTTTGACCTGTTCTTCAGTTAAAGAGTCACATCAAACCAGTCCCGACTGTGCCGACCCGGGACAGGTGGGGTCTGCACAGAATCCCAGAACAGCTGGGGTTGGAAGGAACCTCTGGAGATATCCAGGGCAGGGTCACCTGGAGATGATAGAGGTGTGTTTGGGATGTCTCCCTGTCTGGAGAGACCGCCCACCTTCCCTGCTCCTTGCGGCCGCTCCCCCATCCCCTCAGCCCTCTGTCCCCCTCATCCCCTGTCCCCCTCAGCCCTGTCCCCCTCACCCTTGTCCCCCTCACCCTTGTCCCCCTCACCCCTGTCCCCCTCACCCTTGTCCCCTCAGCCCTGTCCCCCTCACCCCTGTCCCCCTTGTCCCCTCCCCCTCACCCCTCAGTCCCCTCAGCCCTGTCCCCCTCAGCCCGGTTCCCCCTCAGCCCTGTCCTGTCCCCTCACCCCTGTCCCCCTCACCCTTGTCCCCCTCACGTCACCTCCTGTCCCCCTCAGCCCTGTCCCCTCAACCCTTTGTCACCCTCACCCTGTCCCCCTCACCCTTGTCCCCCTCACCCCTGTTCCCCTCAGCCCTCTGTCCCCCTCAGCCCTGTCCCCCTCAGCCCTGTCCCCCTCACCCCTGTCCCCCTCAGCCCTGTCCCCCTCACCCCTGTCCCCCTCAGCCCTGTCCCCGTACCCCCCTGTCCCCGGTGCGGTCCCCACGTGCCCTCCCGCCTCGGGACTACACCTCCCAAGAGCCCTTGCGCGCAGCTCCAGCCCATAACACGCGGCCTTGCTCAGCCAGCGGGGCGCCGCGGTGCACGCCGGGAGCTGTAGGCACCCCAGGCCGTCAGCGCTGCCTCGAGCTACACATCCCAGAATGCCCCGGGAGGCGCGAGCCAATGAGCAGCGGGCGTGTTGGCGCGGCGCGCAGGCGCGCTGGGGGCGGGCGGCCGCGGCCTCATGTGGAGGTCAGGGGAGCGGCGGGGCGGGAGGGCGGCGGTGGGTCCGGGGGTCCCGCGGGGTCCTGGAGGTTGCCGGGGCCGGGGGGGAGCCCAGAGCGAGCCGAGCCGCGCCCTGAGGGCGGGAGGGAGCGAGAGAGCGAGGCTTTGAGTCACGGGGTGCTCGTCCTGGGGGCGAACGGCCTAGGAGGGAACGGGGAGGGGGGTCGGGGTGGGAGTGTAAGGAGCGGATGGGGGGAGTGGGCTTTGGGGGGTGCCCGGGGTGCTGCGGGGTCCGAGCCCAGGAGGGGTCGCGGGGGGAGGAGACCCCCGGGGCTGGGGGGACCCCAAGGGCTGAGGTGTCTGGGTGGGGGAGAAGGAGCTGCTGGGGTTTTGGGAAGGGGTCGATCCCCAGCTCCATGGACACCCCCCCCCGACCTTGCTGGGCGAGGTTTTGACGGTCCCGGGGGGTGTTTGCAGGAGGGAATTCCAACGGGGGCTGGAGCTGCAGGGGTGAAATGGCTGCGAAGGTGTTTGAGAGCATCGGGAAGCTCGGCCTGGGCTTGGCTGTTGCAGGTGGAGTTGTGAATTCTGCTCTGTACAACGGTGAGTGGGACGAGCTGGGCGCTTCAGGCCACTTTATTTTATGGTTTTGTCAGTGTTTTGGCTTCTTTGGGCTTTTATTGCCAAATAAAGAGAGTCCCCAGGCCTTGCTGGGCTGGTTTATACCTCGAGCTTTGCACAATCAGGAGGGCTGGGAGGTCCTTTCTCCAGGAGCTGTCACGGAGCTGCTCCGTGGGGAGCCCAGCCCGTTCCCAGGGGTGGTTTTTGGGATTCCCTGACGTGCTGTTTCCCTCCCCAGTGGATGCAGGACACAGGGCCGTGATCTTCGACCGGTTCCGAGGGGTGCAGGACGTGGTGGTGGGGGAAGGGACCCACTTCCTGATCCCCTGGGTGCAGAAGCCCATCATCTTCGACTGCCGCTCCCGCCCCCGCAACATCCCCGTCATCACCGGCAGCAAAGGTGAGCCCCGGGGTGGGCAACGGCGGGACAGGGGCTTCCCTGGCTTTGATCCCTCCTGCTGGGAGTGGAGATGGGGCCCTAAAGCAACGGCCATAAACTGAGCCACAAGTTCCACCTCAGTGTGAGGGAGAAATTATTTCCACGGCGGTGGCAGAGCACTGGAGAGGTGAGCAGGGAGGCTCACCTCAGGGAGTCTCCCTCTCTGGAGACATCCCAAACACACCCGTGTCACCTGCTCCAGCTGCCCCTGGGGTGGCACTGGGTGATCTCCAGAGGTTCCTTCCAACCCCAGCTGTTCTGGGATTCTGTGCAGACCCCACCTGTCCCGGGTCGGCACAGTCGGGACTGGTTTGATGTGACTCTTTAACTGAAGAACAGGTCAAAGGGCTCTTCCTTTGGTCCCATAAATCCCAGAATCCCAGAAGAGCTGGGGTTGGAGGGGCCTGTGGAGATCACCCAGGACAGGGTGACCTGGAGCAGGTGACACAGGAGCTCGTCCAAGTGTGTTTGGGATGTCTCCAGAGAGGGAGACTGCAGAGCCTCCCCCGTCCCAGTGCTCTGCCACCTCCAGGGAGAAAGTTCTTCCTCAAGTTGAGGTGGCCCTTGTGGTGTTTTAGTTTGTGCTTGTCCTGTCCCTGGGCACCACTGGGCAGAGTCTGGCACCACCCTGGCACCCCTTGGGGACATTTGTATGTTTATCATCTGCATGGAAATGATCCCTTTGCACAGAAAGCCTGTCCTTGGGGCACCACAAACAGACTGAGGCTCACAGCTTCCCGGGCTGAGAGGGGCAGGAAAACCAGCTCATTTTGTGGCACAAAGCCAAGAGGGCTGGGGAGGGCAGCCCAGTCAGTGGTGGCTGCTCTCCCCAGACCTGCAGAACGTGAACATCACGCTGCGGATCCTGTTCCGGCCCGTGACGGCGCAGCTGCCGCGCATCTTCACCTCCATCGGCGAGGACTACGACGAGCGGGTCCTGCCCTCCATCACCACCGAGATCCTCAAGTCTGTCGTGGTAAGGGCGGCCCAGGAGCTGCTGGGCTCTCTCTTCCCTCTCCTGCCAACGAGGGACTCGCTGGAGCGTGGAATGTGTCGTGCCTTGGAGGAGTAGAATCCCAGAACGGTTTGGGTTGGAGGGAAACTTAAAGCTCATCCAGTTCCAACCCAGGTTGGTCCAAGCCCCATCCAGCCTGGCCTTGGACACTTCCAGGGATGGGGCAGCCACAGCTTCCCCGGGAAATCCGTTCCAGCCCCTCACCACTCTCACAGGGAGGAATTTTTTCCCTAAAATCCCACCTAAGCCTGGGAGCTTTCACGGAATCCCAGAATCCTTGAGGTTGGAAAAAACCTCCAAGAGCATCGAGTCCACCCACCTTGTCCCCCAGGCCAGAGCTCTGAGTGCCACATCCAGTCCTCCCTTGGACACCTCCAGGGATGTTCTTCCCCCACCTCCCTGGGCAGCCCCTGCCAGTGCCTGGCCGCCCTCTCCCTGAAGGAATTCCCTGTTCCAGGCTCGCTTTGATGCTGGAGAGCTGATCACCCAGAGGGAGCTGGTCTCCAGGCAGGTGAGCGAGGACCTCACGGAGAGAGCGGCGACCTTCGGGCTCATCCTGGACGACGTGTCCTTGGTAGGAGTTCTGCCTTTGCCATTGCCCTCTCTGCAGTCAGTGGGATGGGGGGGGTTGGGTGTGTGGCCTGGGTGTGTGTCTGTGCCTCTGGAAGGGTGTTGTGCTCCCAGCTCCTGTCAGCTCCTCTGCCTTTGTCCCGCTGACCTTGGGCAGCCCTTGGTGTGTCCACAGCCCTCTCTGTGCAGGGCTTTTGTAGCTCCAGTGAGGAGCAAATCCTTCCCTGGGGGATGGATTGGGCTGCACCTGGCTCTGCATTTGGCAGCTGTTCCACAGGCACCCCAAGGAAGCACCAGGGATGAGGAGGGGTGAAAATACCCACTGTGAGAGCAGCTTTTTCTGCAAAGCATTAAGTGTTCTCCTGGTTCTCCTCTTCCAGGCCTATCCAGGGAGGGAGCTCTGCCCTCCCATCTGCCTCCACAAGTTCAGTTTCTCCCTCTGTAAATGAAAGGTGTTGTAGTCTGGCCTGTGCATCCACCTGGGGCTTCCCTCAGAACACAGGAGAAGGGACACAGGGGAAGGGTTTGCAGGGAGGTGACTTTGTTTCTGCAAAATGTCATTTTTGACACTTTGTTTCTGGGCTTTTCCCCTGAGCACACTCCTGAGGGAAGCTGAGCTTTCCCCTGTCCCATCCCAGGAGCTCTCAGCTGTCCGGGCAGCCCGGGCTGAGGGTGGGGATGGCTGTGGGATGGGGAGGTCCCCTTGTCCCAGTTGCTGTTCTTTTTGGGATCCTGGCTTTCCCCCCCCATTCCAGTGTCCCTGGGCCAGGCAGGGTCACAGCAGAGCTGCTGAGAACTGTCAGTGTTGTGGACTTGGCTTGGTTTGTGCCCTCCAGACCCACCTGACCTTCGGCAAGGAGTTCACAGAGGCGGTGGAAATGAAGCAGGTGGCCCAGCAGGAAGCAGAGAGAGCCAGATTCATTGTGGAAAAGGTAACTTGTCCTTCTCAGAAACTTGGAATTGGTTCCTGGTGTCTCCTTCCCACTCCAGCTTCCAGTGAACATCTTGCTCAGCTGCTCAGAGCCTGGGCAGGTGAAGGACAGAGTCCCTGAGGGTCACAGTGCTGAGATGGCCCTGGGTAAAGCCCCAGGGTGGGTTTGGGGGTCCTTTTTTCATATCCTGTCCCAGTCAGTGTTCCTGGAAATGCCTGTGTGGAGGAGGGAGGAAAAGCCAGTTAGAAATGGGGTCCAAGGATGAGATTTGCAACCAATTGGTTGCTGTTTGTGGAATTTGGAGAGGGTCAGAGCTTTGCAGGGTGTTTGATACCACGGGCACAGGGACCTGTGTGCTGGGAATGTTACTGACAGGTAATCTTGGATCAAGCCAGGATCTCAGGGAGCACCTGCAGAGACAATTCCATGTTCAATACAGGTGTTCTCAGCTGTTCTGTGCCTGTTGAGTGCAGCAAGATGCATGTCATCAGCCAGGGTGATTAAACAGTTGCTCTGACCTGGTTTGAACTCTCTTGCTGAAGTTCTCCAATCCCTCCTAGACAATTTTCCACCCTCAGGTGGATTAATGTTTCCTGAGGTTGAAAATCATCTTGGAATTGCTTTTTTTCCCCCATAGTAGGCAGAAAAACAGTAAAAAGTGAACTTACCTTGACTTTCTGCCTGAGGGAGAGAACAGGAGGGCGGGGAGGTGGGACTGGGGTTTCCAACCCAAGAACAGCACCGGCCTTTGGTTTGCTCGTTTCCTCCGCAGGAAATCACCCCTTCACCCTCTCCCTTCGCTTGCAGGCCGAGCAGCAGAAGAAGGCAGCTGTGATCTCTGCTGAGGGGGACTCCAAGGCAGCAGAGCTCATTGCCAACTCCCTGGCCACGGCCGGGGACGGGCTGATCGAGCTGCGCAAGCTGGAGGCGGCCGAGGACATCGCGTACCAGCTCTCGCGCTCCCGCAACATCACCTACCTGCCCTCCGGACAGTCCGTGCTCCTCCAGCTGCCTCAGTGAGCCCGGCGGCCTCTGCCCTGCCGGCTCAGCCCTCTCCAAAACCGAATCATCGCGGTTTCCTCGTTGGTAAAAGCAGAGGAAACGGAAATCGACCCCTCTCTCGAATTGGTAATCCAATAAAAGCCAACGCGCGTTGACACCAGAGCTGCGTCTCCTCCCACGGGCGGCAGAGCTGTGGCTTCACCGACCACTCGAGGTTTGAGAATTGCCCCTTTTCAGGCAGTCTGAGCACTGGGAGCAGAGTTTCCCGTCTCCTCCCTCCTGGGATGAGCAGGTAGCCCGGGTGACTCCCTGTGCCGGATCCATCAGTGCCTTCAGGCCGCTACGGCCCGGCAGGGCCTGGACTGTGGGACAGGGCTCACCCTCCAGCCAGCCAGTCCTTTTCCAGGGTCACCTGAGAGCAAAAGGACTCCTCAGCTTGGGGCAGTGGCTCTGCTGTGCCTGTGGGAAGCACAGCCCTGGCAGCTGGAGGCACAGCTCCGTGCTGGGTGAGGAGATTCCCCTGTGCAGTGCATGGATTCCAGGCACGGAGGGGAAGGTGGCTCCTCTGCAGGGAATCCTGCTGCAATCGGGACCTCTCTTCCCCCTGCTGCTGCCCCCTGCTCTGTTCCTCCTGCCCCGTGGGGTGCTCTCCCGGGCCAGCCCTGGCACAGGGAGGGGTCACTCGGTGCTCTGGCTCAGGCAGTCGGGGGGGGGCAGAATTCTCTGTTACATCGACGCTCTTTTTTATTTCGGGAGGCCGAGTTGTGAGGAGATGTGATGGGGGAGATTGTGTAACCAGCCTTCAATAAATGTCACAGCCCGAGGGTGGCAGTGCGGGTCGTTGCTTTATTTTCTGCTGTCTCAGAAGAACGAAGGTTGGGTCAGTGGGGCAAGACACGTCCTGCTTGTGCTGGATTATCGGGATGAGAGTCACCTGGCACAGGTAAATGGGGCTTGATCCTGAGGAATTAGAAGCTTGGAACATGAGTCTGAATTCCTGCAACAAGGTAATACCTTTAACAAGAGTGTCTTGTTTCTGTGAGGGCTTTTACTGCTCTCCCTGCACAGTTCCAGCCTGTTGACCCTGCAGGTTGGATCTGTTATCCCTCAGCAACAGCCTCGGGTGGGTGTCACTGCTGCCCTGGGGGTTCCTGTGGAACCTGCTGGGGATGGTGGGCTCCTTTCAGCCCCTTGCACTTATTGCCCTCACTTCTGGTGACATGGAAAGTCTTTCCTGCCTTTTCTGCTGGGCAGGGAATGCTCCTGCAGTGATGAGGTGCCTGAGCTTGCAAAGTGTTTCAGGCAGCCGAGGAACTCCCAAATAACTTCCAGATCTCTTCCCCCTCCGGTGCTCTTGTTCTTTATTCTTCTGCTTTACTGCTTCAGACACTTGTGGGGAAGCTTCCACTGTTCTCCCAAGGCACCTTTTAAAGTGTTTCCTGCTTTAGTTTCACACTCCAGGTGTTGGGCTCCAAGCAGTGGGGCTGAAATCCCTGCTCAGCTCCCGGGGCTCTGCGTTCCCTCTCCCTCCAGTTCAGAGGTTCCAGGGGAGTGTGGAGTGTTTCCTGCTGTTGCCTCTCTGGAGGAGGTGTCTGAGGCTCTGTCGGTGTCCCCTGGGTCTGATTAATCACTCTTTCCTTTGCTTTTGGGTGTAATTCCTTCTGCAAACGTTCCCTGTGTGTTAAGCTGCTCCTTGACCCTGTCCCTGCCTCCCTGAATGCCTAAAGCTGCCACGAACTCATCCCACTTCAAAGCTGCTCCTGAACTGGGGCTGTTTGGGGTGTGTTAGGCCTGGTTTGGAGTGTGTTCAATGAACCCCTTGTTTATACTGTGTTTATTGGTGCTCAGAGACCTGGCTCCAGATGGGAATCGTGGAATATCCTGAGCTGGGAGAGACTCATGAGGATCAGAGTCCAACTCCTGGCCCTGCACAGGACACCGGGACAGAGTGTTGTCCCAAATGGTGCCCCCTGAGGGGAGGTGGAGAAACCTGTGACCAGAAAAGCCAGTGGCCCCTGGCCTGGCTGTCCCAGCTGGATTCCCACTGTCTGCATGGAAGAATTTCGTGTTTTGGGCAGTTTTACCGGTTCTCTGCTGTGTGGGGGCTCCTCAGGGACTGCAGCCACACTACAGGATTTGCTCTGGGGAGGGCAATGTTTTCTCTGCTCAGTGTTTCTTCATTTTTGTCACCTGTTTGCACAAAACACTTTGAATTTAGTGTATTTGACAACTTTTAATCCCTCACCCAGGTACTCCTGGATCTTCCCCTTTCCCACCTGGTTTGTAGGGGACCCTGCCTAGATGATCTCCAGAGGTTCCCTCCAGCCTGAACTTTCCTGGGATTCCGTGATTTTCCAACAGATTGTCACATTTAGCACCAGGCTCTCGGGGCTGGGGGTGTTGTGTGGCTGAGTGATGGAGGCTGGGGCTGTGCTGCTCACGGTGGCAGGAGGAAGGACGGGAAGAGGTCCCCCTTTGCAGAGGAGCAGCAAGGCCTTTCCCTGCTGGTTCCCACCAGGTGGCAGCAGCAAATCTGCCTGGGGAGGGTCACGGGGACCAAAGGTGTCCCTCGGGCTCCCCTGGGGACAGCAGAGCTGGAGGTCACCCCGGGCAGGGCAGAGGACGGGGACAAGGACATGGACAAGGGCAAACCCAGGCTCCAGGTGAGGAAGGAAGAGCCCAGGCTGGCACAAGAGCTGCCTGGCAGTGTCACTGAGGGTTCAGTCCCTGTGCCAGCCTGTCCAGTAAACCTCTGGTGCCCTTTCCACTCTCCAGCTCCAGGTTTTAGCCCCTCCAGCCCAAGGCAGCACATGGAAAGGTGCAAATGCCTGTCCCTCCCTAACCCTGCTCCAGGGTGGCTCAGCTGTGCAGCCCCCAGAGCATTCATTCCTCCTTCCCCACCATCCCTGTGTTTATGGAACTGCTCCAGGGGGCACAGGAACAGCGGGAGTGTGTGGGAATGGCCTCAGAGGTGTGAATTGGTTTAGCTTGGTGTTAAGACAGCCCTGAATTTTTGGGTCCAGGACATTACTGTGATAAATCCATGCTGGAGGGCCCAGTGTTGGTAAAAGCCTGGCAGTTTTTAACCTAAAGCCCTGGAGCCTTGTGGCTTCAGAGTGATTGATGGCAGCACTGACTGGTTTTTTACTTCCTGGGAGACTTTTCCTTCCTTCTTTTCATACCAGTGGCAGAGAGAGCTCTGCAGCAGCCGGGCCAGAGCAGCCCAACAGGCTTTTGGTCAGGATAAACAAACAGGAAACTGCCTCATTTCCTCTGTGTTCCCCCTCTCCTGAGCCTGCTCTTTCCCTGTTTAACAGATAACCAGCCTACCTGCCTCGGGAAGAGGATGTGGAAAGCCCCCCATGGATGGAGCAGTCGGGATGTGCAGCTGGGCTGGGCTCTGGAACAGGCACCTGGCACTCCTGCAGCCCCTCCCCAGGTAAGGGAGGTCCCCAGGCTGGGATAGCTCGTGCCCTGCAGCAAACTGGCAGCAAACTGGCAGGTGTCTGAAGTGGGCAGAGCAAGAGGTGGGGAGGAGTTCCCTCATTGCTTCCGTGGTGCTGTTCATATCTGAGGGGATCCAGCAGAAAATGCCTGTCCTGAAAAACAGAGGGTGTGGGGGGAGGAAGCACCTGGAGAAGCGAGGAGGAAATAATGTCCCCAGCCAGGCTGGAGCTCAGCTCAGCTGGGAGAAGGGCAGCAATCCTCAGGGCCAAATTTGGTTTCACTGTTCCTCGCCTGGCACTGGGGCTGGGACGTTCCTCGTGTGCCTGTTTTCCATCAGGCCTGAGCTGACTCCAGCCCAGCATGTCCTGCCTGAGCCGGTGGGAGGCTCAGAGGCAGCTGGAAGCCCAGGTGTGCAGGGAAGGACTCCAGTCAAACCAGTTTGTTCCTGCCCAGCAAAGGTACAGGGACCCTTCTTGCACTGCTTTGTCAGGGTGATGGTGAGGGGAGCAGAGGTGTCTTTAACCCAGGAACAGAAATGTCCAACAGCCTCCTCTGGGGACATCTCCAGTGAATAATTACTCCAGCACAAACTCTAGAACTTCCTTTATGTGACACCTGAGAGATTACAGCACACCACCAAAGCTGATTAAACAAACAACCAAGAGTAAAATCCCCTGGTTCTCTGAGCCTCCCTCACTCCCATCCCGCTCCTGGCCAACTGCTGGATCCCACAGGCTGTATCTTCCTTTTTTAAAAAACCAAAAAGCACAAAACCAAGGCCACCCAAAGAGAAGTTTTATTTTTTTTGGTGGCACGGTTTTTGTGCAGAGGCTGATGGTTCTCACAGCACAGTCATGCTACCCCAGGACCCCAAAGGAAGTTAATAACCCCCACAGGGAGCTGCTCCAGAGGTCTGATCTCGGGCACAAGGAGATGCTGGTGGGTGTGAGCTCTGCTATGTTACTTGGGGGCAATTAATCTTTAATTGTGGCTTTACACTGAACTAAGAAAGGAGGAGAATGGGAATGGGAATTTCCTCTGCCTGAACTTCTGCTTTGCTCTGAGCCGGCCTCAGAGCCCAGCGCCTCAGCTCTGGGGGCTGGTGGTTCCCTCACACAGCACAGGGCTTCCTGTGACCAAAGCTAGCAGGAAAACCCCTTTGTTTTCCTTTTGCTTCCTTTCCCATTGCTTCAGAGGATCCTGAACCCTGCAGGACAGAGCAGGATATCTAAAAGATAAAGTGTTAGTCTGAGAGTCGGGTCCAGCCCCAGGCAGGGAGGTGGCAGGGAGGTGTCAGCACCCCGGCTGTGCCTCGCTTCCTCTGCCACCCTTGGATTGTTTTCCCAGCGGGGCAGGGCCTGTTCTCTCCAGGGCCCTTGAGCAGCACCCCAAGCTCCCTTGGGGAAGAAGAAATCGTCCCAGCTGCATTTCCACAAGTGCCACGTCGGGCCTGGCTCAGGGTGTCCCTAAGGCACAAGTGTCACAATGTGGAGGCCTCAGCACAGCCCCAGGCACGGGGGGAAGGGTGAGTGCTGCTCCCCAGGGCCCTGCCCAGGGCCAGCCCTGGCACACCACGAGTCACCTCCCACCACAGAGGAGGCAGGTGGGACAGCAGGAGGGCAGCCCTGTCTCCCGGTGGCTGTGGGAAGACAGAGGGCTGGGAGGGCTGACGAGCTTCCCAGGAATCCTCCCAGCAGGAGTCCGGATGAAGCACATCCATCAGTGCCTGGGTAAAGCCAAGAGCTCTGTAACCCGGGCCCCATCCCAGCAGCACAGCTCCCGGGGGGCTGCAGGGCTGGGCAGGGTCTGTCCCACCAGAGGATTCCAGCCCTGAGAGCCGTGTAAAACAACCAGAGCAGATGGCCCAGGAGCACCCAGCTGGGAAAACCCGAGGAGCCTGCCCACAGCACAGGAAAACCCACAGCTGCCAAAGGCAGGAGTTCCCCTCTGTTCGGTTTTCTCCTCCCCACACCATCCTGCAGCTGGTGCAGAGGTGCCCCCCGGGACAGAGCTCGCTGCATCTCAACAATACTCTTGTTACATTTGCTCCCTCAGCAGGTCCAGAACATCCAGTGCTCTCCAACACCCACAGGTGGGTGACACCGTGTTCTGCTGCGTCTGCTGCCCTGGCCCAGCACATTCTCCCACTTTTGTTGTGCTTTTCACCCTCAAAGCTCCTAAGCTGCTCAGCCAAAACCCCCTGGTTCTGAGGGAGGGACCCTGTCACCCACTGCTGCTGCTCCTGCAAACAGCTGGCACGCTGCAGCAGCTCGGGGAGGAACTGCAGCTCTGCATCCCCTGTCCTCGGGGCACAGGAGGGCATTTCCCAGCCTGGTTCTGCCTGGAGAGAAGGGAAATGCCAGGGAGAGGGGCACGGCAGCACA